ACTTACAGGACCACCTGTGTGCCATACACTAAAGTAATGGCTCTTGTATGTTCCCTGTTGGCCTCTTTCTTTTTTCAAGAACACGAAATCACTCACATCATTTCCCTTCTGCTCTCAATCTTATCCTCACAACAACCCTGGGAGGTAGGTTAGGCTGAGAGTCTGTACTGTAGCAGGGACTAGAACCCTGATTGCCTGAGTCCCAGTCCTGCACTCTTGACCATTACCCCACACCGGTTCTCAGTGGCTTTCACACATGCAACATTCATTTGGCCTATGTTTACATAGTCAATTTTTATCTGAATGGATGCCAATGAAGTATTAAATATAACATAATGCCATTACTTTCAGCACTGCATTTTTCTACAGTAGCAGTGCTATCATTTATTAAACCTATCTTTTAAACATGATCCAGAAAACATTTCCTTCTCCCATTAAAAATACTTATTATTTTAACCTTTCCCCAGATATTTCAGAAGGTATTTGAAGAGTCTAACACATTACTGCAGTTTCTTCTTACCTGATAAATTGAGAAATGAAATATGTGATTTCATCTCGGTTGAAATACTTTGAACTGAAGAAAGACATGGTTGTCCAATTAGTTTCGTGCTTTAATGTTCAGCATCTACCAGCTGAAAATTAAATCTAATAGAGAAATTCCCTAAGAATGGGGCTATTTCAGGGAATTTGTTTGCTTCAGTGTTCTGCAGAAATGAAATCTGCCTGCACCTAAAAGATACACTTTAACATTGACCTGAAAACTAATGCCAGCACTTGGATCAGCTCTGTATCCCTAACAGCATATGGTTGCCCTTGTAACAAGCACTATTTAACAATTTTAATGCATTTCTGAGAGCAAGCAAATATATCCAGTTTCTATTTCAAAATGTTTTAGAAGCCTAAGTTGAAAAATAACAAAATGGTGACCAAATGGAATGATTTATGGGCATCCAACATAACATCTGTACAAAATATGTTCTGAAATCAAATGTCTTAGCAGTAGTGCAGTAAGACTCAGTTTGTTATATGAAGCATTCTTCTGTAACTCTATCATGCTGGAAAAATGGAAATCTCAAAAACTCAGCTTCCTAACTCACTCCTCCTCAATTAAAACACCTCGAAATGGTCAAGGAACCCCAGTATTTGGCTTCTCCTTGTATTTTCTTAGTCACCAATAGTAACCTTTAATAAAACTATAAATTCAAGTGCCGATGAAAGCCAAAGGTTATTCTCCTGAGATCAGATGAAACATTTTTCTTTTTAATCAAGAACAATGGGAGCAGAGGAAAAGCTTAACCCAAGAACCTGCCAGTTCAGTCACTGAAGCTGAATTTAGCTATGCTCAGTAGAAATAATCAACATTCCAGTATAAAAACAGATATGAAGACAAATGGGCATCATAAAGTGTTGCCCTAAGGTTGCTATTTCTGTAGTTGTAAAGCATTCATTCTTGCTTTGGTTACAAAGATGCATATATTTCAGTTGTAATCAAGATGTGGTGATTTTTGGCAACTATTTTGAACTTTACATTCCCTGCATTTCTTCAGCACTATAGAGTCACAGAAGACTGATCTATGTAGCAAACTACACGTCATTTAATGCTCTGACTACCAAGGTGCATAAGCGTAAGTGATGGGTTGATGACATGAACTAGGTCCTCTATAACTCTGTTCCAAAAATTTCTCTTGGTTGCACAAGAAAGATACACATATTTCAAAAAACACTTTCTTGAAGCCTGCAAGGCTCATTACTACACATGTATATGTGGTTGTCATTGACAACCTGAGCTGCATAGATCTCTTGAGTACAAGAGGATATTCAGTGTTTGCTTGTGTTAAATTTGTTTGATCTTCTTTGGAACACTATTTATTTTCAAGGGGAAGGAATATTCCCCTGATAGGGAATGGGGGAGCCATTTTCAATGCTAAATGTTCTGGATGCAAAATACAGGTAGAGAAAAACAAGGCGATATTGTTTGTTTAATGAAATGAAACTGTACTTAATTTTGCACGGGAACATTTAGAACATGGAGGGAAGAGATCATAAACATGATATGATATATTTTAATTGATTTTCTTTGCAATACCTTATGAAATAGTGTCGTGTAGCTAAAGCAACAGCATATTGTTTTTAGTGTTTTGTTTATTATGTTTGAGACAATAAAATCAAGGCACTAGAAGCACTAATAACTATCTGATGTCTCCCATTTGAGTACACAATTAAGTCCTGAGGAGTTTAAGAAAGGTAGAAGAAATGGATGTTGCTCAGAGAGTGGTTGTTATTCACCAACTCCAGTTACACGTATACTGTTCAAGGCAACTTTCTTTCTTTTTGGGGGTGGCAGTGGTGGTGGGGAGAGCAGTTATAGTCATTGCTTGGTAGAGCAAAGGGCAACATCGAGGAGTGTCATTCCACAAACTATGCTTGCAGAAATCTACCAAAATTTTGATTGCACAGGCACCTGCTTGCAAAGCCACACTTGCACAAACATGACTTCAGCTGGATCTTCTGTGCGTAGTTCAGAGCTTAGTTCAGTGTCATCACTAGTGGAATGATGCACTTGGATTGGCATGCATTGCTTCAAATAGTCATTGTTTCTAGGGGCCTGTGGTTTAAATTCATGACCAATTACAATACCTGAAAATTCTGAGTTACTTTTAAAAATCATAACTTGTATTTTTTTACATAGCAGCAAGGACAAAAATCCACAAACCATGTAAATATTTCATTGTTAAGATTAAAGTTTTATGTCAGCTGCAGTTTCCTGCTGAACTGGCATAAGCAAATACTAACAGTATCTTTTAAAGAGAGTTAAAGGATTGATCAATTAACAGAGTGATAGATAGATAGATAGGGAAGCAGAGAGAGTAAGTCATATTTTAAAAGTCAAATCTTAATGGGTGCAGCTGCCATTTTAATTCCCCATGTAGCCTTGGAGTAATTCTTCATAAGAGGAAAAGTGGGAAATTAAAATTGTGGGTAGACCTGACACTGGCTGGAACACCAGGCCGGAAGACGTATTTTAAAAGGGCCTGGCTTGGGTGTTAGCAGAAGACCCAGCTAGGAAGTTGGACTTCCAGGATCTCCCCAAGGATGCTGGCTGCTGATGCCAGCTCTGCCTACATCCCTGGTTAGAAGTGGACTTGAAGCGGACTACAGGTTGAAGATATAGTTGACCCCTTGAAAACCACAGTTTGCCATGAGATTCTTGTAGGCAATATCACATTTAGTTTTGCGAGCATCCAGTTTTACACAAAACTGTTGAACTGAGGACTGGGCCCAAAAACAGCTTTGGTGGAAAGTTCAGTTTATTTCAGATAATTGAATGTATATAAACTTGTATAAGCTGAGTTAACCTCAGCCATATTTGTTTGAAACAAGCCAATTTCAAACTTTGGTTTATGAAGTTTACTTGTTTCAACAGACCATAGTTGAGAGTAATCACAGTTTAGGTTTTGAATGATTTGCTAAAATGAAGCTAATCTAAGATGGAAGTGAATCTTCCTATTTCTTTTTCATGCTGGATCATGCTGGAGAATGGAACAGTGTCTCAATCCATCATGTTTATCATGACATCCAAATGCAGATGTCCCCTATACAGAGAAATACATTTTTATATTGTCAATATTTTCTTTGGAAGATCTTGCTGAGAAAGGAGACAAGAAACTTTCCCAAAGAAGTTTTCACTGAATTTCAGGATCTGACAAACAGTCCACCCTGAAAAATTCTGCAAACACTGTGCCAATGCAGATACGTTTAGCCAAGAGAGAATATCTCAGTTTGTCTTGTTCTGATTTGGGTTGTCACATAGAGAATAACAATAATGGGAAAGCATTTCCAAATGACTTCCCACGTAAAAACTGGGTTGATTTAGTCCTCCCACACAGGTACTCTGTCACCTCAGTTAACCCCATTTGAATTGTCTCTATGTGTACTATTTCTTTGGCTGAATGTTAAAAGGTGACCCGCAGGGGTGAAGCATAAAATTTTCAGGATAAAAATATGCAAAGTCTCTTTTGAAATGGCATATGTTCATTAATGGAAGCTAGCTCCTGCTACTAGGTTGGCTTCTTGATAGTTTTGTTCAGGTGGCTTACTAATAAATACAGTAGAGATGAATCCAGATCCAAATCTCAGGTAACAAATAATCCTCCAGTTGGAATATTTGCTGTAAAATGCCTGTCTAACTTAGGAGCACACCTTCTCCATTAGTTGTTGTATCAAAAATAATGTGTACTCCTTAATAAAGAATGTTATTTTTCCTTTTTTCCCCAAACTAGATGCTTTTGTTGGAGGAGTCATTGGCCTCATATTTGCTTACATTTGTTACAGACAGCACTACCCTCCATTGGGTAACCTGACTTGTCACAAGCCTTACGTCAGCCTCCTAGTTCAGACAACACAGAAGAAAGAAGAGACACCTACAGCAGATAATGCTACCAGTCTGCCTCTAGAAGGGATAACAGAAGGTCCAGTATGACTAATACACATGCAAGATGAACTTTTAGCCCTTTCATACATTCCACCGATCCAAACTGGTCTCTCTGCATAATTGATGTCTCTTAACTGCTGTGATTCTGCCATGATCTCCTCATTTTTAAAGACCCTTTTCTTTGCGCTCATACATTTTGTCCTCTGCGGTTAGTAGCAGCACCACCCTGCCCTTCTGTTCCCCCACCTTTTTTTAATCCATAAAGATAATGTTTCCAATAAAAGCAAATATTCCTTAAGGCGGTGAAGACAGAGCGAAGACCTTTGAGATGCTGTTAACTATTAATAATACTTACTGATGCAGCACTGTTACTGTGCAACATGCTTTGCGAATCCACAGTTCATTCCTCCTTGCAACAACTCTGTGGAATAGATCGTTATTGTGCCCATTTTATAGATGGGTTGGGTGACAAGGGCTGGAAGAAGAGGAGTTGCCTGTGGCCACCCAGTGAACTGTGGCTGCACAAGAATATGAACATAGACCGGGACTAGTTTTTACTCCCGTGGACTATATTGGCTGCAAAGCTGTTATCAATGCCTCTTGCTAAGAAGTAGGCGACATTCTGGACTTGACTGACTTCACACCTACTTTCCCTGGAGACATTGGATATGTAACAACATGGTTTATTTATTTTGTATTTCATAACTGTTTGGAATTACAACAGGATTCTGTTTATCTCTCAGTTGTCTAACATATGGCAGCATTTTTGTGCTGCCCGTTGACTTTGGCAGGGCAAGTCTGAGCTAACTGTAATGAAATAAGGGTTTAAAAGTACCAAAAGCATGAGAGCTGGGGAAGGCCAGGATTTCAGGCATAAGTCATTCCTGAGGAAGACGGTGACAACACACTTATGCAAAGCTGTTGAAGCTGTCAGCTGGCAGTAACATATACTGAAATGATCACCTGGACACTCTGTATTAACACATTTAGTGTGTGCGTGCTTGTTTTTTTTCCCTTGAGGGCACTGTAGTAATTTACTTTTATGCTGAATGACTTGTTTCAAAAGAGCAGCTGCAATCCTTTCAAAATGACACCACAACCCAAACTAGTAAACACTGGGAAGAAGAAACACTTTTTTGTGAATATGTGAGCAACACTTGTTTAGTAGTTTCCGTGGACTTGCTGAAGCACGGGGTCATCTGTTTTGGAAAGCTTGTTTTTCGGCTTAGTAACATTTTGTTTGTTTGTTTTACATTTTGTCTGTTGCATTTGCCATTCTGAATCTAACACTTTCCTAAATACCCTATTTGGAAGGTTGTTATATTACTACATGTGCCTGCATGAAGAGGATATTTGATAGCATCTCCGCTAACAATTGTAAGCCTCATTCCAAAACTCTGTGGCAAAAGAGAAAACTCTCAAAAGAGCATGCTGCCATGGGTGAATCCTACAGGGGCACATCATGCACGTACATCCTCCGGCGCATAAGTAGCAACGCAAGTTTGCAGTACACGTGCAACTTCATACAATAAATACAAGGTGGAGAAAAACCTATCTATTCCTTGTAAGGACAGAAAGAGCACATTGCAGGTCTATGAACTTGCCAAGATATTTTAGAGGTGTGCAGGAGGCTGCATTTATTGAGGGAAGGGTGCCTCATCTTAACTATTTTGCAAATCCTCCTTGGACTTGTGCAAAGCTGGTTGAAGTCATTGCCCACCATGCAATGACGTGAACTACGTGGCACATAGGGGATTTCCCTAGATCCTGGGGAAAGTGCTGTATTCTTCCGGACGCAAGATGCCAATGCATTGTACCTCTTGTTCCCAGTCCAGCTAAGGTGCATTCATGCAGAAGCAGAGCAACTGTGAGGACTGGCATATCTGCACTGGTTATTTTGACTTTTTGTTGGCTACCTCCATGAATTCTTTGTGCAAGCATGATCCTGCATTGAAATCCTGCCCCCGTTGTTGACAGGCAGAAAAAGATGTCATTTCCAGCTTTCCCTTTTAAGAAAACTGTAAAAAGTATACCATGGAAGAAGATGTTCTGTGTAACAACCTGGCAATGGGCCTTTTTGGCTTGATCAGCTAACTTGTCTAATGGAGCCTTCTTTGATCAGTGCTATCCATTATGGTGCTTTAGACTGGAAGGGATTTTTGCCCTTATAACTAATTTGTGCCCGATGGCCTATGCATTGGCCTGTTCTGGATTCAACAAGCTTTGCATCTCTCTGTGGAAACAGGTCATTTCCTTAGTCATTTTCTTTGCAATTTCCCCCTGTGAATTCCTGATTGACAACTGTGATCTTTTGGTAAATGAAGGAATAGACGAGACCTTTGAAGAATAAATCCATTGTAGAAATTACACACACACACACTCAAAACATTGTTAATCAATGCATGTCCTGAAAAAATACAATAAATTAAAAAGATCTTGAAAAAGCCCTATAGATTTTAACCAGAAAAGATCTTGAAAAAAGCCCTATAGATTTTAACCAGAAAGAGATCCTCATGTTTTTAGGTATTTCTGGGTAAATTAAATCAGGATAAATCCCATGTATGTGTGAAATGAACAGGAAAGGATGCAAAACCAGCATAGGATTTGCCTTTACTCAGTAAACATGCAATAGCATAATTTTGCCCATCCTTTACACTGTGGGTAGATTTCCATTTCCACATTCTGGAAACTGCTTTTATTACTGTATTATTAGGGAAATATTGGCAATCTCATGTCTCTATGTTTTTTTAACAAGAGTTCTGTTATAGAGGTGTTCTCTCCCTCCCCCTGCCCCTCTATATATATATTCAGGTGTATTGTCTGCATATGAGATGAATCATTTGAAAAAATGGTGTGACTGGTGTGATATACACCAACTAAAATTGGAGGAAAGATTATAGGAGTCTCCTAGGTTTTATTTATTCTTGACTGTCCTCTTGTAAGATATAAGACGCTTTGTTATGTAAACTGGCCTTAAGAACAAGGCTTAGTCAAAGTGGCTTAGCTTAAAAGATTTCCTGGAAGGTAACTTTCCAATGTCCTGAAAAGTTTAGTTGGAATGGGGAGGGATACTCCTACGAAGCTTTCCCTGTCTCATACCGCTTTAGGGTGACCCCAATACTGCTTTCATGCCACTCCTCTGATGCGTGGCAGACTTCATCCATGTCGGCATGTTGGAATACAACCTGCAAGTTGCTGCTTTAGCACATCTCAGTTCTGACAAGGTCTTCTTGAGGCAGTCCTCAGAGCTATAGTGGAGATTTGGGTGCTTCCAGGTTAAGAGAACACAGATTAAAAGATAGTTTAAGGGAGTGAAGCATGTTGCCAGCCGGATGTTTTGGCTCACCACTCCCTAGCACTATGGTGGCTAGGCTGATGGAAGCGGTAGACCAAAGCGTACCTCATGCAAACCATGGCATAAGTTCCCAAGAGTGCCCAGGTCACAAGCACTGTCTGCACATGGTTCTGCTCCAAAAGAAAGGAAGTTGGTTCATAGAGAAAGCCGCCTTTTGCACCTTGGTTCACACAACACAGAGCAGGGTTAGCACCAGCTCTCCTGATGCAGAAAAGCACATCTGTACCACACTCTTATTGCATCTCCCCCTGCAACCACCCACAATGTCTCTTACTCCTCCACCATCCCCCCCTCACTCCTACCACATTACATAACCCCTGCTATGTTTCCTCTGACTTCTCTTCCCTCCCAATGCACCCCCATGGCTTCTTCCAAGTGCCTCGCTCTGAAGAGGGCCCCCTCCCCAGCTCATACTGACAAACCCTTACAGCAAGCCTGGAGGTAGCTGGCAATTGCTCTGGAAAGACCTGCTGTTCAATCTCTCGCTGCAAAGTGCCACAGAGAAAGAAGACTGGAAGGTCTTGCTGGAGCACCCATTGTAGTCTTGCTGGGCAGTGGGCCTGAAAAGCCCCATTCACTCTGCTCTCCTGCTGTGGCAAATGCCACAGCGCTCGCTTGTCCAGCAGCGCCCGCAAGGGCCCCTCTGGTCAGGGGAGGGATCACACAATTCATGGGAAGTCCAGCCCCGATGCAGTGCTTCCAATCCTCTGGTAGCTTGCAGAGCCATTGCTAAGTAGAGTGGCTTCCACTAGCCACTGTGCTACACTATGCATTTCGACCCTATTTTGACTAATATAACAGTGATAGGATATGATCCATCATTAGAAGTTTTCATCTTTTGAGCATAATTTCCATTAGCAAATTTGCCTTTCTGTTCTATTAAAACAGATTGAAGCTTGATTTTTTTCTTCTTCGTCACTGATGGATAAGCGCATTATGTGGGTCACCATGTTGTTCTGCCTAATCAAAAAGAAAAACATGATTTCACTATATGGACTTTCCTCCAAAATGCTGTATGAATTTACAATGTCTAGGAAGAGGGTGGGGATGGGGATGGTAACTTCCAGTTCCCTGTTCCAGCCCCAGCACATGCTACCATTTTCCTTTGGATAACATTCAAAGGCTTATCAACCACTAAATGACTCCCAACTAATCAAATTCTAAAATATGATACTTAATGCAACAAAATGTATAATACTGGATAAGTAGATGGAAAGGCTTTTGCAGTAGCGCAAAAGAATAAAATGTTTTAATGGCGGCCATTACACTGGAAATCATGAAGTAAACCATGTAAAAATGTTGATTTTGATGTAATTAAACCTTACAGAGAATGTAATGATGTAAAACTGATGGAAGAATCCAGAGAAGCTGCCATTATCAGTGCAAGCTGGTGAAGCAAAGGCATTCTTGTGGATCAGTGTCTCTTTAATTTTGTGTCCTTAATGTGAAGGAAATGTAAATGCTGTAATGCACCAATAAAACTGAACATGAATGTGGGATTTTGCATATCCCGGTGTCATGATTTTTTATTTTGCTAGCAAACACTTTAGATTTCCTAGTAAATATTGACAATGTGACCAGGAGCTGTCATCAGACTGATGACAATAGTATCTGTTGATGCTTCCCAAAGGGAACACTTCTTTGAAATGTTTATTAGTTCCATAAATAATCTTACACAAGCCAGCTTTTACCC